TATCTATCTATCTATATCTTTGTATCTCGTATCTATCTATCTATCTATCCGATTATCTATCTATCTATATATCTATCTATCTATCTATCAGTGTGTTCATTTCTGTCTGTTCATCTATTATCTATCCATCCATCTATCCATCCATCTATCCATCTATCTATTCTATCCATTTCATCTATCCATCCATCTGATATCCATCTATCCATCCAGATCCATCCATCTATGACATCCATCCATATCTATCTATCCATCTATGTCATTCTGTCCAGTCTGTCTGACAAGACATCTGGTCCCTATTCATCCATCTATCTATCTATCTATCCATCCATCTATCCATCTATCCCATTCTGTTCATTTTTCATCCATCCATCCATCCATCTATCCATCCATCTATCTATCCCATTCTGTTCATCAAATCAGATACATCTATCCATCCATCCATCTATCTATCCATCCATCTATCCATCCATTCTGTTCATTTTCATCCATCCATCCATCTATCCATCCATCTCATTCATTTTCTATCTATCTATCCATCTATCATATTCATCATCAGTGTGTTCATTTATGTCATCCATCTATCCATCCATCTATCTATCCATCTATCATCCATCCATTCCCATTCATTTTTCATCCATTCATCTATCCATACATCATATCTATCATCCATCTCAGTCTGTTCATTATCTATCTATCATACATCACACATCCATCTATCTATCTACACACATCACACACATTCTATTTCATTTTCTGTTTGTCTGTTATCTATTCATCTATCTAATTTTATCTATCTATCTATCTATCTATCTATCTATCTATCTATCCATTTCTATCTATAAATTGTATCTATCTATTCATCTATCTATCTATCCATCTGCTGTGTTAGTAATATCTATCTATATCCATTCATCTATCTCATCTATCATTCAAATATCTATTCATTTTCATTTATCTATCTATCTACTATCTATCTATCTCAGTCTGTTCATCTATCTATCTATCTATCTATCTCAAATCTATCTATCTATCTATCTATCTATTCATCTATCTCATTCTGTTCAATTTCTATTATCTATCTATATACCCATCATTCATCTATCTATCTATCTATCTATCTATCTATCTATTACAGGCTGTTCGTAGCTATCTGGGTCTCTTTCTTTCTGTCTGGTCTGTCTATCTCTTTCTGTTCATTATCTATTAACCTATCTGAAAACTCATAGACTTTCTTGTTATCTATCTATCTATCTATCTATTCATCTATCTGAAAATCTATCTAGAATCCTATCTCCTCAACGGATCATGGGTCTTTTCTCCGATCGAACCGTGGGAGAAAGGAAAAAGATGAAGGCAGGCGATTAACAGGTATCTATACTTAGTAATATATTTAGTGTATTGGAGCAGATGGTCATTATTCAAAAATATATTATTAAATATAACGGAAAACGAATGTCTATTATATTTGATCATGAGTTGTTTGAAGTTTCCTATAATGGCCTTAATTTCGGGAGAAAATAAAGACAAAATCTGTTCAACATTTGGATATTTTTTATTAAGTTGTCCCTCGACGCCATAGAACGGCATCACGAATTTACGACCTGCGTTTGCTATTCAGCGACCGTTATCGTCGCATAGCAAACTTCTATATAAACTTAACAGGATATCATCTTTGATGGTGAATAAGTTTATTGAAATGTTCATATATCGACTCTGATGATGGATCATGTGAGTCGAAAGCTTAAATCGAGGAACAGCATAATAAAAAGTATCCAAATGTTGGCCAGTTTTTCTTTATTTTCTCTCAAAACTAAAGCCACATTACGAAGCTTAGAACGGTTCATGATCAAATAGACATTCATTGTCTGTTATATTTAACAATATATGCTTGAATTACAATATATATATATATATATATATATATATATATATATATATATATATATATATATATACTATGAAGGCGTGAAACTTTTGAGGGCAGACGTACTTCCTAAAATCAGAGCAAATGACTAATTTTGTGGGACAGCTTTTTCTTGCTTAGGCCGGGAATTTTTCAGCACAGGTTCGTATCTGTATGGCTATCTCTCTGTATATCTATCTGTATATCTTTTCAGATAACGACATATATTTTTATATATCAGGAACAGAATTTGGGAACATGTATGACAAATTCGAAAAAGTTTTCTTCTGATGCGTTTTGTCATTTCGGACTTCATTGGACTAAATAACAAAATTAGCCCGATGAAGCCCTTGTCACAAGACAACACTTTCCACTTTGTCATATATTTCCCCAAATATATATATATATATATATATATATATATATATATATATATATATAAACACACACATGATAGAAATTAAAGAGGATTTGAGATAATTATAATTAAGTAAGTCATCGAGTCTAGAAGAGACCTTAACAGAATGCAGAAAGTACTGAACGGCCATTTCGTCCTATATTTGAACTACATGGGAAAGTTCGCATCCACCACCGAGAATTGAAGGCAAACGTCAAAACCAAATAAAATTAACGGGCCTCGGTGCTAAAGAGGTAGCGAATTAGATTCGATATAGCGCCGCTCGATCACATATTCGTGGTGGAACTCATCCGAGTTTCCCCTTACCCATTGACCCACGAGCCACGACTACTATCACCA